GTGAGATCCAGGAAAGGCGCAGAGCTACACAAAGAAACCCTGTCTCAAACAAAACAAAACAAAAAAAAAAATATATATATATATATATATATATACTATTAGAATCAAGTATTCTCATTTCTTATTGTTAAATGGGGTTAACAACTTCAACATAATTAAGAAATTACATTAGTGGTAAAGGACATATTGCCTGAAAGTCAATAATTTCTAGACCGGAGCCTGGAAACTAGGATGCAGCATCAGATAAAAGTCTGTGGCCACTGAAAGTTCCTCTAAAACTTACTCAGTTATTTTCTTCACCACATGGGTTCACCATCCTACATGAAGTAGAGAATCAGGAAATACTATAAAATGGAAGGTAGTTTAGGTTTTCTCTCTAACAGATGAACTTTATATCTCTGGTTCTGAGAACTGAACAGCACCAAGTTATTACCTTCCTCAGGAAAGGGGTATACAACACAGGCTTCGTGGGCCATATATACAGTAGCAGTTTTTGTTTTGTTGGGCTCTTCTGGGGTTTGGGCTTTGGTTTAGGTTTGTTTGTTTGTCTGTTTGTTTTGAAAGCAGAGGCTGTTTACTTTGCATATGGAAGCCTGCATGCAAAAAAAAAAATTAAAAACAAAAACTCATATAACACTGTGTAACTGAAAAGTACAAAGGGCCCTGGCAATGCCACTCTCATCCCACCAGAACCCTGCAGGTGGCAACCAGCCTATTGCTGCCCTCAGCCTTAGAGAAACTTCTTTCTACTGTGTGTGCATGTGCATGCACGTGAGCATGTTTACGTGAGCAATGAGAAACATGTATGTTCAAGTGTTAGCATGAGTGACTACTGAGTGCTCAGCCCTAACAGGATGTCTCTAGTACCCCTCCTAAGGCCCAGGGAACACCACAGAAAAGAGCAGAGAGATCTATGGAGGCAGGACAATGGGGAGAGGGCGCGCTGTGAAGAGCAGAGAGATCTATGGAGGCAGGACAAGGGGAGAGGGCGCGCTGTGAAGAGCAGAGAGATCTATGGAGGCAGGACAAGGGGAGAGGGCGTGCTGTGAAGCACAGCAGACTGGGTGAGGGAGGTGCCCATGGCTGCCCTCCCCCAGGGTGAGGGAGGTGCCCATGGCTGCACTCCCCCAGGGTGAGGGAGGTGCCCATGGCTGCACTCCCCCAGGGTGAGGGAGGTGCCCAT